AAACCCCAAACAACCACCCCCTATTTATCAAGTATTACTATTCCTATGCCCAATGCCAAAAAAACAAAGAACAAAACAAATCCACAACTCTTTCAAGTGCTAGGAAAAAAATGTCCACATTTTAAGTCAAGCCAAAGTATACGAACTCCCCACAGAACAAAAAGAATTATACTTGAGGATTTATACCAATGCAACAAATGACACACATAGAACAGACCAAGCCTTTCCCCAGACATTGTCCACTGAAGCTGTGACATTGTAAACCAGTAAGAATTGTTCAAACAGATGAGTCTTCGGGGCAAATCACCTTAGAACGTAACCAAGCAAGGGAAAAATAAAAGCTTAAAGCTGCAACAAGATTAAAATACTAGCACTGCTACCAAATCTGATAAGAAACAGTCAACACTGAATAGAATTTAGAAAATCATTCAAGATTTTTCTGCCACAACATCCAAGACAAATATTGATAGTAACAGATTTTTTTCCTAAAAATTCCATTTGTTCTTAGATGAACCATGATTTCACAGAAATTGATCCGCTTTTCAAATTAATACACACTTCAGTGGATATGCTGTTTCATTTGAAAGCAAGTATTTCATTATGAATGTGGAACACAACTGATTGAATGCAACCTGCTGAAAAGTGTTTTTAAGAAAACACCCTCAATGATCCCCCAGCAAGTCCACAAGCAGACAGAAAAACATCTGTATTTCAGCTGTGACTGCCAGGTTACTGAACACCACTGTAGCAGAATGACCTCTCTCTATCTAGTCTGTGACTTTTCTGTCTGCTTACAAAGCCCCCTGTTTTAAACAACTCTCTGAAAAGAGCAAAAGTAGAAGTAATTTTCCTTACAATACAGTTAGATTAGGATAAAACCTGGTAATTCATTGAAGATGCTTTTATAATACAGCTACTTTGAATTCAGACCCTGAATAAAATGAAACCCACCTGAAATTCAAGAACTAATGCTTCCTGAGAACACAAAGATGTATATAATCTTATCAGAGGTGGCATTTTTCCCTTTAGTGTTATGCTGGCTATTGTGAAACAATACTTGAAAAGAGAGAAACATTCAATGTAGTAATCAATGGGGTGTAAGAATATTGAAATGTTAGTTCTACTCAGACATTAAACTGAGACACGCAGACAGTATGATCTATCTAGTATAATTAATCTTCAAAAAGAGATAAAGAACAAGTAAAATGCTAAACAGTGATAACTCACTGCACAACCTGAGCTGTATGGTTTATTAGTAACACTGTGGCTTTTATATACTGAATTTTGTGAGATGTATTTCAGCTTTTCATGTTGATAAAAAAAAAAGCCTCAGTGATGTTTCTTCTGGAAGTTGTGCATGTGAGTCTCCTGGATACTAATACCACAGTGCACTGACTGACACAGCACAGAAGTTGTTGACCAACTCTCCATCTCACACAGGATGAGAGATACTCAGTACCAGAGAACCAACTACACTGTCAGGTTGAACTCACATCATCTGTCTGAAGCTGGAGAGATGTATCTGCTAAGTACTACCAGCACATTCATAATGTGAAAGCTTTTCAAAGGACGACTTTGACTGACACTTCCAGGTTTGGCAGAGTACAAGAACCTATTCCAGCAATGTTTTCAACCAACACCTTCAACATTTGCATACACGAGTCTAAACAAGTATTTCAAAACCCTCATCTTTCCATTTAGGAAGAATGCTTCTCACATGGGAACTGGCACCACGACATGACCACACATTTAATCTCAACAAAATGATTCTTGGTCTTTCAGGAGAACAAGACAGCCAATATCACCCCTCAGACAATATTTTACTCTACTGTGCCCATACATAAATAGCAGTCTGCAGAAAATTTGTATTATCTACATAGCTGAAGAAAAGCTTCAACTTGCAAGAAAAAAGACAAAACCAGAAAAGTTTGTCAGGGATTTGAAAGTAAATCCCTAATAACAGTTTACTGTACTATGCAGCACCAACACTTTTCAGTTTGGCTTTATTTTTCTGTTTAAGTAAGGGCAGCAACATGGACAGGAAAAAATATTGCAAACCCACAAGCCACAGATATTTCTACTGGTAATTTAAAACACTTGCAGTCAAAAGTAGTCCAAAAGGTGCTTATGAAACTGTTTCAGGCTTTGTATGAACTGTCTCTTAATTTCACACTCCATTTGTCACTTGCCTTTTAACCATGAACATACCATGTAACAAAAGTGACTCCTTCACTGCAAATACCCGTACTTGCACTTTAGTTGACCTTCTGTGTGCACACACAGGTACAAACACACCAGGCACTGCTCCTACTTCAGCTCCCAGCAGTGGGAACAGCAGCATCATACAGATGCTCCTGGAGCAAAACGTGTCATACCATAGTTCAGGTGGATGACTAAGCACACAAGACAGACTTGACATTACCCAAAATTTACTAGATTTGATCATTTACTCAATGTTTCAATCACCTCAAAAATACCTTTGGTGTCAAAGAAGTAAATCAAAGGCTTTTGCTTGTGTTATTAGTGATTTTGCTGAAACACTGCAGCTGTGGAAGTAAAGACGTGAGCTATCATCCCACATGGAGATACAGCTCTTTGAAAAACAACTCAATAAAACATCTGAGTTTCCTATACTTCAGTACACAACTCCTGCCCTAACCAAGAATACTTTTGCAGGTCATACTTTGAGGCTACTTATGCTATTTAAAAATACATACAAAATGAATCATCACAGGTTTGAAGTCAGGAGGAAGCGACTACAGACCAGTGCAAACAAAAACTGAACTTCATTTCATTGCTACATAATTTTTGAGAGGGGACAGAAGGAGACAAGCTACTATGGGATAACCTTAAGAATCACATTAATGTATTCTCTTGGATGACTTCAAAGGAATCCTTTTTCATTAGGATTACTCCTTACTCTGCAACTCAACTGACAGACATCAGCACAGACATATCACCAAAGCTGAGTGGAAAAGAAGACACGTTTTCACCACATCTATTCAAGTTCCCTTGTCTTCCTCAAGATGACAACTAATGGACGGAAAAAGGAACCTCAGTGAGATCCAGGAAAGAACAAGAATGGCCACAGATCTCACAATACTCTCTTTACATTTATCTGCAATCACTTATAGCAAAGGTTATGACCCAAGCCAGATGAAAATACATCACAAAAGTATAAAATTATAGCAAGAATTCCTCACACTTATTCAACTCACTGTACCTAAACCAAAATATTTAACATTAAAGGTAGACCTAAATGCTGATCTTATTATCCTTTAATAAAGTGTGTAAAATTTGACACCTTGGTAGTTTTATGAACTGAGACAGTCCATATATACATTAACACAGGCTGTTATGGCATTCTTCAGATTGCTGCTATCAACAGACACCATTCACAACATAGGACAAAGGGCAAGCTTTAACAAACGTTGTGAAACACTTTATTTTTAAAAATCCTGTTCCTCTCTCTCTACAAAGAGGAAATTAATTTAACATTTCTTCTTTTTAAAAGAAATATGTTAACTGAAAATATACTTGCAGAGAGGCAGAATAAAGTATTGCTTTTCTCACAGATCTGGAAAACAAAATTAAAGTTACCAGAACAGTGACTGGCCTTTGACCACAGAAGCTTTACCTGTAACTTTTAAGAGTTCTGTTAGACAGAGCGCTCTGAAAACAGAAATGGTCAAGTGGACCTGCCACAGAACATGAGCCCATAAAGAAATACTACTCAACTTTGTCACAGCAAACACCTGCACTAAAAATAACAGACACATATCAATACAGCAGCAGGATGGGTTGACCTGACCACTCTCAGTATTTACTTAGAACACAATAAGAGGGGAAAAGGAAAAGCTACTCTGTAACATCGAGCTTAAACATCTTGAAATGTACTTATTATAAAAGCAACCACAAATAGCCTTTAGCCAATTTATTTAACTAATATTTACTGCATTCATTAGCTATAAAGGTATCAATAGACCACTAATAACATCTTCAAATTGGTTACCACTGAGACCTTCCAAGACAGTTTAATGCATGTTTACCTGAACACAGTGTCTCGGTTTAAGTTTTCCCACTACTTTCCAAGTCTGCCTTATCTGAGCCACTCCGTTTTTTTGGAGGCAGGGAATCTCTACCAAACCCTGAAGTACTGTTACTCCCAAGCCACCAAAGCAATTGCCTTTCCTCTCCTTGTTTTCTCCTTGCTAAAGCAAAGGAAACAAGAGCCAATATCACGTTACAAGTCATGTCTGAACAAGGGGAAAGCACAGTGACTGCAGCCAAATGTTAACACTGAGCAGTATCAAGCCCTAAATACAAGGTGCATCCTTCCATCACATCCACCTATATTAGAAAAACAAACCAAAATGAAACCTGAGCTCGTTTTCCCCGGTGCCAATACAAACAAGTGATAAGATCTCAAACCCGACCCGAAGCCAAGACTCTGGACAGAGCAAAACTGAGGCCTCGCTACCTCTGGGGGCCTCTCTATCCCCGGAGCCAAGGCTCGGCAGCAGCATCATGCTGCTGCAGTCACGTCCGAGGGGCAGGGGCAGCCTTTACCTGTGAATCTACTTGCCTTTTATTAATTTATTTTTTTTTTTAACTGCAAGAGCAGCATCGGTGGCCCAGCAGACACCACGGGGACACCCCGCACAGGAGGAATCCCCGGGCTCCAAAAACAAAGACCAAAGTTTTCCCTGCTCGGCGCTGCGTGGGAGTGCGGCAGCAAAACAGGAGCCAGGATCAACACGAGCCGCCTCCCGGCACCACACCCGGGCCCACGCAGGGCAGGACACCCCCCGCTCCCGGGGCTGGGAACACCTCCCGCTCCCGGGGCAGCTCCAGCCGCTCCCTCCCGGGCAGGAAGGGGACACGGCGACACTCCCCGCCCGGCGGGACGGGGGGAGCGCGGGGTGTCCCCCTGAGCGCCCCTTCCCGACCCCCTGCCCGCCCCCACAACCCCACCCGCTCCCTCACCGCCCCCCCCTCACCGTGCTGCGCTGGGGGCTCGGCTGCGGCTCCGGCGGCTGCATTCCCGCCCCTCGGCTGTGCCCCGGGGCCGCGGCGCAGGGTCCTCCCCGTTGCTCCTGAGGGCAGGGAAGGGGCGCCGGGAAGGGCCGGGAGCAGGACGGGGCTCCCGGGACAGGGGTCCCGGCGCGCGCGGCCGGGCGGCGCTTCCGGGCTCGGGGCGGCGCGCGGGGGCCGCCGGGCGGGGGGCGGGGCCCCAGCTGCGCGAGCGGCCCTACGACACCGCGCGGCCCGCGCGCGCCGGGCGGATCCGCTCTCGCGAGACTTGGCGAGGGCGGGAGGCAGGGGCGGGGGAGGAGGAGGTTTGAACGAGTGGGGGCGTGGCCACGGCTAATGGGGCGTGGCCAGGGAAGGGGGCGGGGCCGGTGTGAGGGAGGGTTCGGGCTCCCGCGTTCCAGGTGTCTGACATTCCTGTGTTCCGGCGTTCCCGGGCTCTGGTGTTCCCGGACTCCGAGATTCCCGGGCCCTGACATTCCTGGGTTCTGGGATCCCGGGCTCTAGGATTCCTGGGCTCTGGCGTTCCCGGGCTCTGAGATTCCCATGTTCTGGCATTCCCGCACTCTAGGATTCCCGGCATCTGGCATTCCCGCGCTCTGGCATTCCCGGGTTCTGGGATCTCGGGCTCAGTTTCCCGCATTCTGGCAATCCCCGGCTATAGGATTCCCGGGTTCTGGCGTTCCCAGGCTCTGAGATTCCCATGTTCTGGCGTTCCCGGGCTCTAGGATTCCCGGGCTCTGGCATTCCGGGTTTTGGGATCCCAGGCTCAGTTTCCTGCATTCTGGCAATCCCGGGCTATAGGATTCCAGGGCTCTGGTGTTCCCAGGCTCTGATATTCCCTTGTGTCCCCCCTGCAGCATCACACCACGAGTTTTTCCTCAGCTCCTTTAAAACAAAGGTTTCCAGGAGCCAGCGGGACACAGCACTGGGTGTTCGGGGGATATGGACCCGCAGTCCGGCCTTCCCCCTGTCCAGAGGAACCTCCTGAGCAAGGTTGGGTGGTGGATAAAACTCATGGGTTGTTTTCTGAGTACTGGCAGCGACAGTAAAGTGTGTGGACACAAAGGTTCCAGCACAGTTCACAGTCAGCGGTTCAGATTGGAGTGGATCACAGTGGGTCGTCTGGCCCAACCTCCCTGCCCAAGCAGAGAATCACAAAATCAGTTGGGTTGGAAAAGACCTCTGAGATCATTGAGTCCAACACTTGACCCAACACCACCTTGTCTACTAGACCATGGCACCAAGTGCCTCATCCAGTCTCTTCTTAAACACCTCCAGGGACAGTGACTCTACCATCTCCCTGGGTAGCCCATTCCAGGGTCATCCCAGAACACATAGCATGGGATTGTGCCCAGACAGCTCTGGGATATCTCCAGTGAGGGAGACTCCACAGCCCCTTGGGCAGTCTGTTGCACTGTGAGTTCTCACACAGCACGGGATGTCTGTGAGCAGGAAAATGCCCTTGTGCTGTGCTCCTGCCTAAAGGGCTCATGATCCTGTGCCATTCCCAGTAGAGTTTTTGTGTCCCTCTGTTGGCAGGATACACTTGAGGCTGTGATTATATGAATTGATCCAATGTGAACTTTTCATTGACATCCATGGGGGCTGAAATATTTCTGTTGAGGCAGAGCCTTGCAGATGGTTTAGTGGGTGTACATTGATTTTTCATCCACAGACTGGGCCTTCACTTGAGATTATGTTCTGTTTAGATTATGTTATGTTGTGTGCCCGAGTAAGCTGGTCTAAAGCATCTTTTCCCAAGCGATAAAGACCGTGATTTGTGTTTTTCAGGGGGGAGGTGGTGGTGGTGGTGTGTTTATATGCTTTTCTTTGTTTAGTTAGCATCTGTCTTGTGTAGATTTTTTTTCTTTCTTTCTTATCACATTTCGTCAGAGCCACAGAAACACCATTGCACTGATACCAATGAGAACAGATGCAGAGTTCTGTAACCACCTTCTGTTTCTCTCTGGTAAGGAAGTGCAGGGAGGATGTGTATCTTGTATTGTCATTACTGATTCTCCACGTCATCTTCCATGTGCAGAGGCCTCAGGTCCTGTGTCAGAGGTTGTGTGAAGTTAATTAAGGAATTCCTGTATTCTAATCTCTGCATCGGAAACAAGCCAAGCCTTCTGGAGAGGCCAGATGCAAAACTGGGAGTAAACAGGATCTCAGTGCAACAATACTGTTATCTAACAGACATCGATTCTTATCCTGTGATTGGAACTGTTATCAAGATGCTGAATTGCAAAAATCCATAATTTCCAAATAAAAACTCATGCTGAATAGTTCCAGCAGCTGTATCTAGTTTCCCTTAAAATGGAAGAAACAGCTCTTGGTACATGGGAGTCTCTGTGCCCTAGGTTACCTGTACTGGCCATTGCTTCTTCAGTGTTTTTTGTGTTGTCCAGCTACTGACTTGATTTGTCCTGTCTTTTGTTGCTTCTAGATTTTTCAAATCATCATCTGAGTCAAACCTCTCCTCTACTGTTTCTCACTGCCTCTCTGTAAGCTCACTGTCCTACAGCTCCAGTGTATCTTGGCAAACCATTGTAGCTTCATATATAAGTGGGCTCCATGGCTCCGTTTCACTTCAGCAGCAGTCAGTGATATTTGTTTGGAAATTATGCTTTTCCTCCACAATCCTCCGCAATGGACTGTAATGGATGACTATAATCTAGCAGTTGCCTGACTCATATTCCACTTTCAAAGCAGAAGTGTTCCAACAGAAATTGCAGAGGCTCAGAATTTTTCATCTGGTCTCAGCTAGTCATCGGTTTGAGAGCAGGATTGTGATACTAGGAAATTAATCAGTCTTGAAACTTCACAATTAATCACAGCAGAGCCAGTGCTCTGCTCGAGAATTTAGGAGAAAAATCCTTATGGGTATTAGGTGCCTGATTACCCCAGAAATCAAAGACTGTGTGTGTTCTGACTTTGCTGAACACATCTCTGAAAGGAGATCATTTTATTGCTGATCCAGCTTTTTCGTCTCTTATCCATATGACAACTACGAAAATTGATTATACACAAAAGTAATATTAGGAAAGTATTTAATGTATTTTTAGCTGCTCCTAATGGGATTTAGCAGCTGGAAACAAGGAGAGCTGGCACTGAGTAGTAATCAGGTCAGTTCTTAGACAGCTGTGTGAGAACCAGTGTGTCAGACCCGGCTCTGAAATACGTCTCCATTTTTTTCTGTATTTTAAAAAATGTAGTATATGCTATGAGGAATCTGAAAACTAGGCCTCAATACTTGCAGCTCAGACAGTTAACTCGAAGTCAAATGGAATTCATTGTTAAATCCAGGCCTGTAATAACTTCTAGATGAAAATGCCTCTGGGTTCTGTGTGACATTTTTATTTTTAATTTAATGCTTATGGCACTTATTACTATCCATCTTTGAAAGGCCTCAGGTTTGGATTTAAATTCCATGCTACATTCATTTTTAAGCAGAACAAAAATGTAGTTATTTCTGCTCCCCTTTTCTCTTCATGAGCCACAGTCCAAGAGACCCATTTTCCTATTTTGGAAGAAAGCAATTTTCTGCATGTTTGTGCCAAGGGATTGCAATCAGAAAAGTAGCTTGAGAAAATGGCCCTTCCATAGGTTTTCTGTCTGAATAATTCCTATACTCAGTTAGTTCCATTTACAAATCAAAAGAATAATTTTCCAATGTAAGCACTGTAAACGGACTCTTGAATCTAAAAAAGGCTGAGTTCTTTCTCACTATTACACTATGGGCAGTGTGTTGTTACTGAAACACACCAAAAGGTTTATAAGTCCACCTCACATTTTTGTGTTTCATTACATTTAAGACCTTTCCTCATCTTACAGTGAATTCTATGCCCTGAAAAAAATTTCTAGAGCACTATTCATCTACTAGATTCCAAATTTAGTTTTGGACCTATACATAACCCTTTGCACTTTTCCTTTTGCTAAAGGTATTGTGAAGCTGTTTTGACTCTGCTAGGTACCCTGGCTGTTTTTCGATTTCGTACTGGTGTCAGCCATGTCACTCTGAGAGAGCAGTATAAAATGTTTATTGTTTTAGCAAGGATCATGGATCAAGAAGTTGAGTTCAAAATGAAGATGTCTTGGAACTTATCAGTAAGCACAGCAATACTGAAGTTGAGAAGTCGAAATAAACCTCTGAGGAAATGGCAAATATTCCCAAGAGCAGCCAAAAATGTTACTACTTTGTGTTAAGGTGGAATCTTTGCTGCCTTATAAGGTGCAGATCTAAGCAACTGCAAGAGTTTACACCCTCTGAAGGGCAACCTAACACAGTTTGGGGAACCTGTTGGTGTATGTGTAAATGTGTGTGTATTTCCAGGAAATGACAAGGCATTATCCCTCACTATTACCTTTTCTGTCTCTTGTGTTCTCCACTTCTGACATACAACACTGGGATCTGTACATGTTCCAGAACATTTTCAAGGTGTGCCTTTGTACTCTCAAGTTATGTGAGTGAGTCCAACAGGCGGGAACAGAGCTCTGCTGCAATTTGGGAATGGTCTTCTCACCCAGAGAACAACACAGGCACTGGGAAGAGCAGTAGAGCTCTGCTGGCCTGCACCTCTTAGTTGGCTTGCACACAACAGTTCCCATTTTTATTTTGCAGCTTCCGTAATTAAGTTTGCTGCTTTGCAGATTAGTCTGTAAATTGGAAGACCAAGATTCTACAGAAACACAGGTTCTCCATAAGCACACTTAAAGACTGAAAGTGTTCCTTCGCAAGGTCTTCTTAACAGCTGCAGTCCTGGCATAGCTGTTGTCACTAGAGCTATTTAGTTGGTGCTGAAAGACTGATGAATCAGTAATAACATATAAAATGTTGTGATTTTTGAATGCTTGAATGGGATATTTAGTGTGACGAAAGCGAAAAAGACATCCTTGTATGTATGCCTTCATGAGCATGCATTTTTGTTGTTAGGGTTCAAAGGCTTTAGTAATATAATTCAGAGGAAATTTGTGATTTTTTTGTTTTCCTAACGTGACATGAAGACTGTGCTTCTCTCTTGGATGATATATAAATACAATTGATTCCCTTGGGGTTGTTTTTTCATTGCTGTTAGCTTTGGTGCTCTGGTCAGATCCAGTTTCTGAATACCTCGAGTTCCCCTGTGGTAGCAGGAATTTAAATGAATGATGTCACTCACTC